TCTGTTTCTTGTCTCTCTCTCTCTCTCTCCCTCCCCCCCTTGCTTGTTTTATGTCTTAAATTCCACACAAGTGAAATTGCATGGTGTTTGTCTTTCTCTGATTTATTTTGCTTAGCATTATACTAGCTCCATCCATGTCATTGCAAATGGCAAGATTTCATTTTTTATAGCTGAATAATATTCTGTTGAATATATATATCTTCTTTATCTGTTCGTTAATTGATGGATACTTCGGCTGCTTTCTTATCTCGGCTATTGTAAATAATGCTGCTATAGCATGTATCCCTTTGAATTAGTGTTTTTGTATTCTTTGGGTAAATGCACAGTAGTGTAATTACTGGATCATAAGGAAGTTCTATTTTTAACTTTTTGAGGAACCTCCATACTGTTTTCCACAGTGACTGCACAAGTTTGCATTCCTACCAGCATTGCAAGAGGGTTCCTTTTTCTCCACATCCTTGACAACACCTGTTGTTGCTTGTGTTGTTGATTTTAGCCATTCTGACAGGTGTGAGGAGATACCTCCCTGTGGTTTTGATTTGCATTTCCCTGATGGTAAGGGACAATGAACATCTTTTCATGTGTCTGTTGGCCGACTGTATGTCTTCTTTGGAGAGATGTCTGTTCATGTCTTCTGCCCATTTTTGACTAGATTGTTTTTTGGGTGTTGAGTTTTATAAGTTCTTTATATATTTTGGATACTGACCTTTTATCAGATATGTCCTTTGCAAATACTTTCTCCCATTCTGTAGGTTGCCTTTTAATTTTGTTGATTGTTTCCTTTGCTGTGCAAAAGCTTTTTATTTTGATGTAGTCCTAATGGTTTGTTTTTGCTTTTGATTCCCTTGCCTCAAGAGACATACCTAGAAAGAAGTTGCTATGGCTGATGTCAAAGAAGTTACTGGCCCATGTGTCTACTTCTGACTGGTTGGAACTTGAACGTCTCCCAACCATCTGTGAACTGTCACTTCACAGCTCCCCTGTATTTCTTTACCTGGTCTCATGAAGCCATGCCCTAAACATGTGCAGTTTAGCATTCAGCTGGGAAGACTCAAGGAGACCCCTAGACAGATTTTGAGGGTTCTCTCTGCATAACTCTCTCTTCTCTGATACCCTGCTCCACAAATTCCAATCACCACTCGTCTCCCCAAATTCTGATCTCCTCAGTTCAGCAATACTATCATATTCTGCTTGAATTCTCCTTCCCTGCACCATGATCCAGAAAGTATCTCTGAGAGAAACCTGGGGATTTGTAGAACTTTGTTTCTCTTGCCTTATTATTTTTCAAGAGACCCACTCCAACATGTCTGGAAGCAAAATTCAGGCCATCTCTTTTTTGTTTAGTTATATCTTGTTCTTTGCTTATGTTTTCAGTTCCTTCTTTTGCATATTTAAACATTAAGAAAATATTCATTTTATATTGTCTGAGAAGTCCAATATCCAAAATCTTGGATGTCTAATTTAATGTTTGATATTTTCATTTGCTTTGGCTTACACTTTTAAATTTTGGATTGTGAGCTCAGGCTCAATTGGATTATCTCTGTGGGAATCCTGTGAAGTCTAGGTTGAGAGTGATCATCATCAGAGAGGATTTGTTTGCTTCCACCAAGCATTCTGAGGGGTTCCCAGACCTCAAAGACAGCATGTACGTATATTTAAACCCAAAATCTCTCTGAAGGCAGACCTGGATTATACATTCACATTTAGGTCCAAAACATTTTTTCTCTAAGGCTAAGACATTCAAATTCCCTTGTCATTTTGTGTGTATCAAGGGTCCCAGATTTATATTTAGGAGTCTTATTTAAAGTCTGGTGTCTTGTTCAGGCCCAAGGTTTTTTCTCATGTCTCTCTACAACCATTAAAGCCCAGGTTCTGGGTCACTGAGATTAACAAGACAGCCTCAGGACAGCTGTGGTTTTAATGCTTGCTTAATACTTGGCTTCCTGAGTCCTCTTTTCAGCACCTATAGATTGTCCTTACTACCTTGTGAGCTCCAGTATGCATTAAAAGGATATTTGATTTATGTTATTCAACATTTCTATGTGTTTTGCAATGTGATTTTTTTTTTCAGGCCATTTAATCCATACTATTGTTGGAAATGGAAGTCTGATTTTTGTCTTGCCTGGTTCCCTCTTCCTCTGGCCCTGGGTGGAGGAGAAAGAATGGATTCAGCACCAGGGACTTTGCCTAATGCAACCATATGCTGACTGGCTTTCCTTCCAGTTTTAATTTTCTTTGAGTCTATTCATGATATAGTCTTCCCCTTTCCTGGGCCCTCTACTGGGGCAACTTGAACAAGAATTGGGGAAAGAGTGCTCAGTGATAAGAGCATCCTGTTCCCATTTCTTATAGACCCTGGGGCTACTGACCATTAAGTGGCCCCCTGATTGACTGAGTATCTAGGAGGTGAGTAATTGGGCCACTCCTTACTTTCCTGCTGGCACAAATAGCACACAGCAAGGCCTCCTAACAAAACCTATCCTCTAGGCTCTGGCTCTAATTCTACCCTCACTTCCCCCAAGAAATCTTTCAAAAAACTGAGGCCCAGGTAGAGGAGAGGACTACTCCATGGATGGCAAAGATTGGTAGTTAATTGGCAGTTTGGACCTTTGTGCTAAAGATGTTTTCTGAAGCATCACTTGAGTTCCAAGTGCTGTGATTGATTAATGATGTCTGCAAGGACCCAGGGGGAGAAGCAGGTATGTTGTGTGTTTGCCATCTCTGGAGTGTCCCCTTGAGTCATGCTACACCTTTTTGCTTTAGAAAGCCTTGGACCTCCCTAATCCAAGGAAGATGATGACAGGAGGGAGCTTGAAAGAAAAGTCTAGCTGCTGTAGTCGGACAAGAGTTTATGACTCTTTCAGATAATTTCACATCTTCCCATAATACCTGGTTTGCTGGGGACATTGTCGGGGGTTGAAGCCTTATCCCCCTCTCCTGATGTTTCTGTGGACAAAGAGGCTCCTTCTTTTCTCCCTCCTCCTCAAGAGACAATTTGATTATGTAGCACTGGACATTCACTGGGCCCCATTTCACCAGTGAGAGACTGGCAAATTTTCAGTGTGGCAAGCACCTTGAATTGGGCTGGTGCCTGCCCTTTAGAGACAGTTCTGTGGTCCCTGTGCACGCAGCTTCTGAAGTACATGACTTAACATGCAGGCCCAAGGGTTCAATTCAGGGAAGAAGGTAGGAGGGCCAGTGTCTCCATTCCAGTCTTTACCAGAGTCCTGCCTGAGGGGCTGGAGGGTGCCTGCATGCCAGGACAGAGGTGGAATTTGCTCCCCCTTGCCTTCTAATCCTTGTATGCCCTTGTGCTCAGAGGGGCGGTGTGGGGGGAAGAGTAGTTAGATGCCCAGGACCCCTAGCAAATATCAAGCCCTTACGTATCAAGAGATGCAAGCTTAAGAACATAGCATGCCATTTCAAATCCATTTCTAGGGGAATAAATGTATAATTCAAAACAAGCCTTTGAATGATACAAAGGATAAAAATTCAAATTGAAAAAAGCATCTATTCCAAAGGGGCAGAAGTAGTTAAGTATAGAGCACATCACCAAACACTGCCCACAGATCAGGGCCTGAAGTCTTTTCCAAGTTTGGAGAACCAGGCAGACCCTCTGGGGTCCAGGCCCTGCTCTGGGAAGTGGCTCTTGGGAACCTCAGACAAACAGACCCAGAGCTGGTGACTACCACCAGGGGGTAGTCAGCACATGAGAGGTGGAGAGGGGGCTGCCATCTCTGGGTCCCTGATGCTGGGGAGGACTCTTCAGGCCTGTCAGCTCAGGAAGGGGTGTCTAATCCACCAAAGGGTACTGAGGCTGGGCACATGGGGACATTAACACACTGGGGGCCACAGGCGCTCTGGCTTTCAGGGTACCACCAAGGGGCCCCTGGGCGTGGCCTGTCACCATCTTTTTCATCCCATTCTGTGACCCTTTCCCTTGTTCTCCCTCTTCCCTAGTTTCCTCCTCCCTCAGTCCTCCCCTGGCCCACTTCTTAGTGGCTCTCCAGCTCTCCCTCCATCTTGTCTTCCATCTGTTCCTTCTCTCCTTCTCTGTCTCTCTCCTCCCTCTTCGCTCTCATCCCCTCTTACCCATCTGGGCCAGAAGCAGAGCCCTTTTCCACCCTGTTAAGGGTAGGAGGGCACAATTTAGTCTTATCCACGACCTCCCCAAGGTTAATATACCCTTTGGCTTGGCCCCCTTGGAGTGGGACATCTGTTTCCTTGGGAATGTGGGATTTTCTGGCTGATTTAAATGGTCACAGAGGAAGCTCTGGTTTCCACAGACTCAGCCTAGAACAGGGCTGTGGGGGGGCCTTGTAGGAGCCAGCCTATCCCATGGCCTCAACCAGATGCTGGAGGCACGCTTATTTATTATGCAGAGGCTCAGAGAAAGGGGGTGGGAGGCTTGGGAGGCAGGGCTGGGGTGGATGTGAGAGGAGCTGTGTCCAGGCTTGGAGCTCTGGGTAGCCGTAGGGGCAGCATCATCTCTTGAAGGCCTGTTTTTTCCAGGGGACCGCCTTCTTACTGCCCCTCCTGGCTTTGCTGAGAACAGGCAGATCCACTTCAGGTGGTTTCACTCTAAAAATCAAAATAGAGAGAAGCAAATGCTGGGAAATGGGTGGAGAGAACTGGTGTGGACAGCGCTCAGAGCCCTGCCCTGGCCTGAGCAGAAGTGCACTTGGCCCTCCGCCATGCACAGCTGAAGCCCTCTGGGTGTTGCTCCAACCTGGGGGACCCAGAGGCACCTGTGACCTTTCTAGGTGCTCACAATTTTGCTTTTCTATCTTCAGGAGAATTGGGTGATTTTTACACTCTTGCAGAATACGTAATTCGCTTCAGTTAACATGGCCAAGTTAGTGGACTTTTGGCAGGTCTTGAAGGTTTCTTGCAGGGAGACGGCAGGCAGTCTCTACCGTTCTCAGACTGAGGGTCTGGGTTGTAGGGTTTCACTGCAAAGTCTACAAAAGGTCTCAATCTCCACCACCCAGACCACTGCCTGCAGCTCCGGGAGCAGGCTTGCTGCCCAGCTAGACATGGTATTGATTAAATGGGCCAGATATCAGGGATGGTTGGAGATGACCCACGCCCGGGGCGGGGAGGAGTGACTTGCCCAAAGCTACTTAGCCCCACATGAACTCTGTGGCCTGTGGCAGAGCCAGGGGCCCTGCTGTGAGCCATGCCCATTCTGTTGATCACAGGAGGGCCCCTCAGCCCTGGGGCTGGGGTGGCCACCTACTTCTTCTCAGCTTCAGGAGGGGACTCCTCCATCTTGTCCCCCATGGCCAACGAGGAGAAGCTTTCTTGGATGTCTGCCGATATTGCTTTCTTGGCTGAGTCGGGGTCTTCCAGGACTGGGATATAGGTTGGAATGCTGCAGGGGAGGCAGGGAAGGGAGGGCAAGGCTCAGCAGAGGCACAGCCAGAGGGGGCCCCGAGTAAGTAGCCCCTGCTTGGTACTGCCATTTAGCATTCCAGCTCCAATAGAGAAAAGAGCGCAGGGTTTCTCCTCCCCAGGGTGGGTAAAGGGAGAGCCTGACCCCTGGGGACCCAGAGACTCCCTGGAGCTTGTTTTTTCTGGCCTCTGTTTAAGGTTGGAGTCACCCTGACTCTATGTCAGTGACATCTGTGCACCCAGCACTGACCACCGGTGGGGCAGGAGGGCTCCGTAAGTGAGCAAAGGAGAGAGCACAGGAGGCCAAGGAAATAAGCCATTATGTAGAGTCTTACGGGCTGCTTGTGTCCCCCTCCCCAAACTCAAAGGTTGGTGGAGTCCTAACCCCCAGTACCCTAGAATGTGACCTTATTTGGAAATAGGATTATTGCAGATGTAATGAGTCAAGAGGAAGTTATACCGGAGTAGGGTGGACCTCTAATTCAACATACCTGGTGTCCTTATAAAAAAAGGGGGTAATGTGGACACAGATAAACAGATGGGAGGACACCACGTGAAGCCTGGAGTAATAATGCTGCCACAAGCCAAGGAACTACCAGAAGCCAGGAGACTGGCCTGGAGCAAGGCCTTCCCTAGCACCCTAGCACTTCTCTGCCTACACCTCTGTCTCTGGCCTCCAGAACCATGACATAATATATTTCAGTTTAAGCTACTCAGTTTGTGGACCACTGTTACAGGAGTCTTAAGAAACTAATGAATACAGAGACAGGACAGGCCCTGTTGTTTCATTGTTTCTTCGTATTTATTGAGCCCCTGCTATGCCACTTGCTTGAGGGCAAGGCATTTTGGGGACAAGAGACGAGCAGGGGGGAGGGGAGAGGAGGGCATCTTCCATCATTTTGAAAACGCTAGAAAAATTTAAAATGGAGGTATGGACTGAGCTGGCTCCCCTGTCCCCTTTGGTCCCATTTGGACAAAGGTGGTAGGAAAGTAGATTCTGGGAGTGGGTCTCTTGAGACTTCCTGAGCACCATGGTGGTGCTAAGGACTCTTACTCCTGTCCCCACGCCCCACCCCACCCCACCCCCACATGGGTCACAGCTCAGTACTTCCTAGGGACTCAAAGCACAGGTAAATGGAGAAATGGGAATCCATCCGAGTGGGGCACTGGAAAAGCACCCCTAGGTGAGAGCTTCCAATAGCAGGTTACAAGATGAGAGAGTCAGGGTGACCAGGATGTGGGGAGCATCAGCAGTGTCCCCAGGTGAGGCCCTCCACCAGGCCTGGGGCTGTTGACAAATGAAACGTACTGGCCGCTGGGGAAACCGTCTCCTCTGCCTGGCCCTGGGCGGATGGAGAATGGGACCAGTGTTACCAGAGCAGAGAGGGTGGGCTTTGAAGACCAAATCAGCCCTCGCCCTGGGAGCTCGCTAACAGGGGAAAACAGCCCCTTTCCTTCCCCCTCCCTCAGCTAAAAGCACCCACAGAGCATCTTCCCTAACCCCCCACTTTTAAGTTGTGGTTAAAAGTACAGAACATAACATTTATCCATTTTCCAATGCATACTTTAGTGGCATTAAGTACATTCACATTGCTGTAGAGCCATCACCACTATCTACCGCCAGACTTTTTCATCTTCCCAAACTGAAACTCTGTCCCCATTAAATACCAGCTGCCCATTGTTCCATCCCCAGCCCCTGACAGCCACCACCCTATCTGTCTCTGTGCATTTGACTCCTCTGTGGTCCTCATGTAAGTGCAATCATGCGGTGTTTGTCCTCTTGTGACTGGCTCATTTCACTGAGCATAATGTCCTTGAGGCGCATCCATGTTGTAGCTTGTGATAGGATTTCCTTCCTTTTTAAGGCTGAGCAATATTCCACTGTATGCACAGAACACATTTTTTTTTATCCGTTTATCCACTGATGGACACTTGGGTTGCGTCCTCTTCTTGGATATTATGAATAATGCTGCTATGAACACAGGTGTACAAATATCTCTTTGAAACCCCACTTTCAGCTCTTTTAGGTAGCTACCCACAAGTGAAATTGTTGAATCATAACGCTGTGTAACTGTTTCCACAGTGGCCACGCCGTGTCACATCCCCGCCCGCAGCTCACGCGCCTTCCAGTATCTCCACAGCCTCGCCAAAACGTGCTGTTTTTGTTTTTTTGATAGTAGCCATCCTAATGGGTATGAGGTGGTATTTCACGGTGGTTTTGACTTGCATTCCTCTAATGATTAGTTCCCTTTACTCATTTTCTTATCGATTTCTGCGTCTTTGGATTGGCCAAGGTAAAGCAGGTAGAGATCATGTTCACTTCCAAATCCCCAGTGCTGAGCACGAGCCCGGGCAGGCAGTAGGAGGGGCACGACTTTTGGGTTAAAATCGAGGGCTGCTTCTGGGGAGAGGAGCCTCCCTCACAGGAGGTATATGAGGAGCGGCCAGAGGACCATGGCCACTGGTTATCAGTAGACCCTCTGTCAATCAGCCCTTCCTCAGTCTGACCTGACCTCTGCCTCCCGGGGATAAAATCAGCTCGGGGTCATCATTCAGTGAACATGTCCCCAGGGGGTTCTATGTGCCAGGCCCTGGGGCTGAGCAAAGGACACAAAGAGAAGGGAGGTGGGCCGTGTGATGCAGGACACCCGGCTTAACAGGTACAGAGAGACCTTCAGCCCTTCCCAACCCACAGCTGTCTCTGCGGCTGGCTCCTCTGAGTGCCCAGTGAGCAGCGCAGGCCTTCTGGAGCTGTCCTCCAGCTCTGCCCACTTCCCTGCATTTACTCTGCAGACCTGTATCCTCTCCCTCTCAGCTCCCTGCCTCGAGTCCTCCCACTAGAGCTGTACAGAACCAAGCAGATCGGAAGTCTACTCTGGCAAGGAAGAAATGATTCCCGCCCAGAGACAGTGAGGGCCCCCCCACTAGCTGTGAATGTGAGGCTGTCTGCCAGCCCCCTCTTGTAACAGAGGACCCAGAAATGAAAACACTAGAACTCCAGGAAGAGCATCTCCCTTGGGCTACACCGACAGCGCTGACTTCTAGGTTGTTTTTCAGCATGGCGCTCTGTCATGCTGGCACTTTCCATATCCACTGACCATAAACCTCCCAAACCACTGCTTGGCGGCTGAGCCTCCTGCGAACCTCCATTCTGTCATCCTTCCCCACCTAGGGCACAACTGATCGATCAGCCTTCCACGAACACATCCAAGTTACATATTTAGGGGAAAAGTGGACAGGCCAAACACAGAGGTCTGCCCTTCAGGCTAATCACCACTTGCTGGTGATCACTTGGCCGAACAAGCATCTGCTTGAGCCTCATCCAACCATCTTGTTCGTAAGGACATCAAGAGATCTCACCCAGTGTCTTCCTTGAAGTTATTCTAGGCCGACAGCATGTCTCACTCCTATTCTAGTTACCCTGCTGGAAGAGGAATCGGACCAGTGGCTGGCTGTAGAACACGTCCAAAAATTCTTTGACACTCCTCCCATCAAGAGGTGTGGTCTCATTCCCCTCGTTTGAATATGGGCTGGTCCTAGGGACTCATGTGCAGTGCAAGGTGATGCTACCTGACTTAGGAGGCAACACAGGTCCCACCTGGCTGCATCTCAGGACACTTGCTTTGGAACTGAGCCACCCACCATGTCTGAGGAAGCCCAGGCCACACGGATAAGCCAGGTGGTAAGTGTTCTGGCTGAAAGTCTGCATGGATGGCCAGGTATGGGAATGAGCAAGTCTTTGAGATGACTCTGGCCACTGTCATCTTCTGACGTGACCACATGAGAGACCCCAAGCAAGCACTACCTAGCTGAGCCCCATCAGCCCCCAGACCCTCAGAGACAATAATAGGAAATGGCTGTGTGGTTTTACATCACTGAGCTTGAGGTGGTTCCTTTCACCTCAAGCTTTTATGTAGATAAAAGAGCTGTTGTTATGGCAACATTTTCTTGTCAAATTCCATTCCTTTTTTTCTCTAAGTGCTTTCAAACTGCCAACCTAATAGGCCATTCTAGAATTAAGAGGAGTCCTACTGGTTTATAATCTCAGGAATCCTCCCCCTTCCACTTTCAAAAACCTAGACTGTGCATGAATGTGTGTGTCTGTGTGTGTATCTCTGTGTGTTTTTGTCTGTGTGTGCATCTGTGTGTTTGTGTGTCTCAGTGTGTCTGTGTGCATGTCTCTGTGTGCATCTGTGTGTGTGTCTGTATGTGTGTGTCTGTGTTTGTGTGTGGGTAGTTTGCTGATTCTCTCCCCACCATTCCTCAAAAACTTACTGAAATCTGTTGTAAGCATGAAGTCCTTTCAGAACCCTTGTATGTAACAAATTAGGAGCCTAGAATTCATTTTAGCAATAATAACAGCACTAACAACTGTAACTTATAACCTCTCAATAAATGTTTGTGATGTGCCAGAATTTCTCACCTACCTAACTCATCTAATCCGCACAACCCAGGGCAATGAAAACTGCTCATTCTTGCTTTACAGACAAAGCAGCTGAGGCAGAGAGGGTAAACGGTCCTTGCAAGGACAGTGGCAGCCAAATGAAGAGCTACATCTCCTTGTAACTGGTTTTGGCCTCTCTCACTCCGCATCTACCACACCCACAAGCACCCCATCCATTAAATGTCTCTTGAAATGCCTTTGCTTGCTGTTTTTGGCATCTGCCAGTGGCCTCCGCCGCTCATCTTCAGTTTGGGCCTTCTGGATGGCATCCTCCCCATCGTTCTTTCTTGAACCTGAGCAGACCCACAGCCTCCGTTTCCCTTTTTCCCTGGGACTGTCAATGAGCTAGCTGGTCTTGAAGGACCCCCAAGCCCTCCTTGAGTCTTCAGCGGTGGGGTCTCAATGACTTTCTTCTCTGCACCTGGCAGCATCTGCCCTTCCTGATGTCCCCGGGGCTCCTGGGGATCCTGCCTTCTCTACTAAGCGGTCTAGGATGCTGGGGTCAGGGTGTGACCTCTATGGTTCCTTCTAGAGGAACCTGTTTAGGGTCAGGCAGACATTCTGGCACAGCTCAAACTCAGTGCGCTGGGGAGAAATTGGCGTCAGGACTCCTAGAAAGCTGAGGGGCCTGGTGGGAACAGGTTGGGTTGCTGTCCACTCAGCGTGCTAGGGGTGCAGGCAGAGGGAGCCCCTGTGCACAGGCAGGCAATGCTTTGGCCTTTGGTGTGTTTGCTCCTCATTGTGGTTTATATGGCACTTCGGCAAACACACTTTCATAAGAGGTGGGATTTACCATCCTCATTTTAAAGGTGAAGACAATGAGGATTAGGGAGGCAAATGGACCCCTGGCTTATAAAGAGCAGAGTTGGGGCTCCCGCCTCGTCTTGGGACCCCTGACCCAGTAAGGTTTACACTGCACTGTACAGCCCAGGCATTCCAGAATCCACTCCTAACATAGGCTCTAGCAATGTCATAAATTGTGGGCTCCTTCCCTGGACCAGGCTGCATGCTTCTTGAGCCAAGAGACCAACCTTTGTTCATCTCACCCAAGCTAGGCCTGGGAGGCACTCAATAGATGGGCATCACCTGGTTGAAAAACCTGCAGTCAGTGGCCAAGAGGCAGTCTTAAGCCAGCACCACCCCATTTCCCTTCACAAGGGTCTGAGCTCACTTCCTGAGGAACCCTTGTCTACGTGGCCCTGCTGGTAAACAGAGAAGCAGGACTGGGATGGGGTGTGATGGGGAAAAAGGTGGAGGTGTCCCTAGGACCCCTACCCAAACCTGTCTTCATGAGCCTCCCTGCCCCAGAAACCAGCACTGTGCAAACCATCCCGTGTCCCCCTTTCTCCAAGAGGGACCTTTCCCCCAACTTGTGTCCCAGAGAAACCAACAACATGGCCTCATTCCCCCTTGCCACCTGTGAAGTCTTCTGCTTGCTGCCAGCTTCTTTCCCCACCAGTGTCCCTTCCAGAGCAAGGTCTCCTCCCACCCCATGCCTGCCCCTGCATCCTGAGTTTTTCCTGTTTTACCTAAATTTGTAGTTGTCTGGCAGGAAGTAGCCCATCTTGCAGTCTTGTTGAGCCTGAAAGATCTGTTTCAGCAGATTCTGCCTGCTAAAGCCATATCCATTCAAAATGCAGCCACCAAAAAGGAGCTTCCCCCCTGCGAACATCTGTAGACACACAGGAAGGACATGGCGGGAGAGGCCCTCAGCACACCAGCACTGAATCTCAGGCCAGTGCCATGGGCTCTTAGAGCTTGTGCCAGAAGCCAGGCCTTTCTCTGATGGTTTCAGCAGTGGGGGGAAGGGTGCTGCCCTCCCGAAGCCGCCCAGGGAAGTGTGGCTGAGCCTGTTCCCCATCAAGTCCTCCCAAGTCAGATGGCAGCCCCACCATCCCAACCTTTGCCCCCTGCTGGCCCACCTGCTCAGATGCCACTTCACACACAAGCGCTCCAGAGCCCTGGGGCTGGAAGGGTTTCTTCCTGCTCAGAGGGCCCCACCACACCCACCTACAGCTGACTGGACCACTTATCCCTATGCACTGATCAACTGGTCCCATGGGATGGGAGCCTCTGGAGGGCAGGGATCTTGTCCTACTGCTCTCTGAACCCCCACCCTCTAATGTCTGTCTCCAGCAAGTAGACACGTGTCCAAAGATTTTTGTGCAAGGATATCCATTAGAGTGTTATTTGGTATGTCCCCTCTACCCCTGCCCGGCCAACATGGAAATAACCTAAATGTCCAACAAAAGGCTCATAGGTAGAGAAATCAAATGTCAGATTCTTATGCAGTGGTTAAAATAACAATTTAAAAAAGCAGTACCCCCAAAGTCAGAAAAAAGACTAAAAAAGCCAGAGGCCATAATGTTAGCAGGGGTGTGCCCCAGAGCTTCCAATTGTGCTGAATCTAGCAGGTGCCCAGTACATACTTGCTGCATAAGGCAATCTGGGTAATACGGGGAAGTCATTATTTTCTAAATTGTATATTCTTTTTTTTTAAGATTTTATTTATTTATTTATTTATTTGTCACAGAGAGAGAGAGAGAGTGCGAGAGAGAGAGAAGCAGGGGAAGTGGCAGGTGGAGGGAGAAGCAGGCTCCCCGCTGAGCAAGGAGCCCAATGTGGGGCTTGATCCCAGGACCCTGAGATCACAACCTGAGCCGAAGGCAGATGCTTAACCAACTGAGCCACCCAGGCACCCCTCTAAATTGTATATTCTAAACTTTCTACAATGAATATATATTTTTTTTACAATGCCCTGTTTTTAGTAAAAAGTTACTTAGAAACAGATGAAGAGGGGGGTGCCTGGGTGGCTCAGTAAGTTAAATGTCCAACTCTTAATTTCGGTTCAGGTCATGATCTCAGGGTCCTGGGATTGAGCCCTGCATGGGGCTCCTCACTCAGTGGGGAGTCTGCTTGAGGATTCTCTCTCCCCCTCTCCCTCTGTCCCTCTCCCACTCATGCTCTTTCTCTCTCTCTAATCAATCAATCAATCAATCAATCAATCTCTAAAACAAAACAAAGCAAAAAAACCAGATGAAGAGAATTTGGTTCTCTAGGTTAGGTGTGCCCTGCTCCCTTGAGTCTTCCAGGATGAGGGATGGATGGGGTCAGGCTGGGAACAGGAGACTGGACTCCAGCCCTGACTCTATAAGCTGGGTGACTCTCAGTCAGGCCTTCTGCTCTCTGGGCCTCAGATCTCACAGACCCTCTCTCTTTCTCCCTCCCATATCTGTGATTCCACAAAGGTAGGGGCTGTGGGAGACAGGGGCTGTTGGCAGGCAATTGGCGGTGAGTGCCCCCCTTGGCCCCAGCTCACCAGAACCATCCCTGGCACCACAGCATACTTCTTCACCAGCAGGGGTGGGTCCTTCTGCAGAGAGCTGTCCAGGTCATACCGCAGCAGGCGGTATGGGTCATGCCGGCACTGCCAAGACAGAAGTAAGTGCCCATCAATCCTATGCCAAGAGGATGCACTCAGATTCCTGCATTCTCAGGCTGACCAGGTTCCATGGAGTCCTGGAGCCCCATTCAACACGGTCTCCCAACTCCTGCTCAACAGGCTGTTCAGCTCCCACATGCACACCTCCCATGACCATTGCCATGATCATCTAGGTCCATCTAGGGCCTTCTGCTGGTGAAGGTTGTCATGGAGATAACTGCCCCCCACCACATGACAGCCACTAGCTCCACCCTCTAAGGGTCTGCAGGACTTGACTGTTCCCTCTGCCTGGAAGTAGCCATGTTGGAGATTTGAAGGTATACCATATTCATGGGTGTACCCATTTTCAGGATTCCTCCACCCTCTACCACTGCTGGCTGCCCTCTGGATACCTCGCTGTCATTAGATCCAGTGCTGGGACCTGAATCAAACCTACATCTCAAGGTGGGGCCTGGTCAAGCCAGAGTAAAGGGGGTCTCTTTCTCTTCCTTATTTCTGGATGCTACAAATCCATTAAAATAGCTCATGTATAATGTTTTCTGGTTTAATCTGCCTTTTATTCCAGGTGCCTCCAGCTGTCCTGCCTGATGTTTCTATTTAAAATGTGAAATCCAGAACTATATCTGGCATTCTAGCTTTCGGAGTAAGACAATGTTAAGGAACATTTCTGTCTTAATCACACACACTGGGATGGTGAAACCAGAGTCACTGTGAAACCTGACACCTCCCTCCAGAACTGTCCTCCACACTCCTCAAATCCCACTGCCCACTCCTATCTCAGATTCAAGGTCAGGCCCTGTCCCCATTCATGCTACTCAGAGCTGGGCTGGACTGCCATGCATCTTATGCTTACAGATAACTATTAATGAAAAATTAATAGCCTTGAGGTAAACTAAAGTCACCTCTAAGTTCCCATGTGGGCAGGGATCCTATGTCTATACACCGATGAGCACAGGGCAGGACTCAATAAGTGTTCACTAAGTCTATGTAAATTGGGGGTGACTCTAGAATACACAGCTTGGATGTACAAGACTAGTAAAAAGGCTTTTGGTGTCTGATCAGAAGGGTTCCAATGCCAAGCTCCTGGCACTGGCTGAAGTGCAGGCACAAGGGTGGGCACATAGGGTCAGGGAGGCCATGGTCCTGGGAGGAGAGCTGGAGAGGGTATCCCCAGGGCAGATACAAAAACTTGGAAGTCAGGACTGCAGTAAAGGGAGAAGGGGCAGATAGTGGAACAGAGAGGGCATAGGGCCAAGAGGATTTGAAAGAAGTCACCAGGTAGACACAAAGCTAATGTGCTCACATGGCATCCTCTCCTCCAGTTGGAGTGGGGATAGGGTCACCCCTGAACTGTGATAAACCTGCCATGGAAGGTTACTGAGGGAGGATGATGATGAGACTCAGGAACGACCCTGCAGGCAGGACAGGACCAGGGGGTGTTCTATGTGCCCCTGCAGATCCTTGAGACTTCAACCACAATGAACAGGGACCTCAAGCGCCCCTTTCCCTGACCACCTTTGCACAGGCTGCTGCCTCTGATGGGAACACTCGAACCCTCTCATCCTGGGAGACTCTCCCTGACTCTCTGGAGGTGGCAGGCCCTGCTCCCAGCTCCTGAACCCCCCGGAGCTGGCCTTTCATGGCCCTGCTCAGGGCTGCTATAGCTGTTGCCCCACCATGCTGGGAGCCCCTCTGGGCCTGGCACGGGGCCAGCACACAGTAGGTCCTCAGCCACAGTCTATGAACATTCTTGAGTCCTGAGTATCCATTGGGGAGTCCATCTCTGCTCCAAGTACTCACACCAATACATAACCACACGCTATGGGGAGTGCTCTGGATGAAAATGGCAGAAAAGATCTCAAGGTCAGAACGAGCACCCACTTTGATGTGGTGACATTCGTCTCCGGACAGGAGGATGAGTCAGAGAGAGAGAAGACAGGCGAAACATGGCAGATGGTGTGTTGAAGAGTGTGTGCAAAGGCCCCAAGGAGAAAAGGAAGTGAAAGGGGGCCCATGTGCTGAGGCCGAAGGGCAGCCTCTCAGCCAGATGCTCAGTCAGTCCTAGCGCCCCTGGGGGGCGGTCTTCCCTTGAGGCCGCCCGAGCTGGGCCCTGGACCAACCTGGATGCAGGGCGAGGCGCGGCCCTGCTGCCGGTGACTGTGGAGTGTGTCGAGCAGCCACTGGAGCTGTGCGGTGCTGGTGGGGTTCTGGCTTGAGACTATCCCAAACACCAGTACCTGGCTGGGGTCTCGGGGTGCGGACAGGAAGCGCTCCAGCTCCACATCCGTTACCAAGGGTGCCTTCACCGTGCACCGGCAGCCAGCCCGGATGTCTTCCTTGCGAATGAGCTTCCGCAGCACCAGCGGGCAGTCGGAGGGCGAGGCTGCCCACCTGGTAGGGCTGCGCACCTCTCCAGACTTTCCTCTGCAATGAGGAACAAGTGGGCAGGTGCTCAGTGGGCCAGTGCTCAGGCCTTGGATGGAGCCCCCTCACTTCTGTGTGCCTCAGTTTCCTCAGGTACAAAACTGGTGACTCCTTTATCCAACAAAAACTTTGGAGGCATCCTGAACCCCTTTCTTTCTCTGACACCCCACATCCCATCCAAGTTACCAAGAAGCCTGTCTGCTCTACACTCAAGAATGATCTAGAATCCACCCACTTTCCTGCTCCCCCACTCCTACTGACATGGCCCAAGCCACCATCATTTCTTGCTTGGATGCCTGCAAGGGCCTCCTAATGGCACTCTGCTTTCTTCCCTGGCCCCTCTTCAATCTATTCTGCACACACCAGACTGAGGGATCCTGGCTCCTGTTAGAACCCAAGTCACGTCACGTCACGTCACGTCACGTCACGTCACTATTCTCTTTGAAACCCTCCAGTGGCGTTCCATCTTTCACAGAATAAAAGCCTAACTCCCTATGATGCCCTTACAGGCTGTACATGATCTGGCCTCCTTCCTCAGCCCCTTGCCCTCCCTTACTCTCCAATATTCTCACCTTTGTTTATTTTGCTCAGCTGCTCTAGCCTCTGCTTATCCTCCAACCTCAGGGCCTTTGCTCTTGCTGTTCCTTCTGCCTGCCTGGCTCTTCCCCCAGGCAGCCACACAACTCACTTTCCTTCCCACCTCCTTTATGTCTTTGTGCAAATGCCACCTTCTCAGAGTGGCTTTCTCTGACTGTCCTATTTGGAATTGCATCTCTCAACCCTCAATACTCTTTCCCTGACTATTTTTCTCCTTATCATTGCTCATTAGCTAATATACTATACATTTTACTTATTTTGATTATTGTACTTCTCTATCCCAACAGAACATAAATTTCATGAGTGAGTTCATGAGTTTGGAGTGTTTTGCTTAGTGAAATAAATTGTAGTTCTTGGCAAATAGTAAAGATTCAATAGAGATTCAAAAAATATGCAAATACTAACCAGGTACCTACTATGTGCCAGACACTGCACTGGGTTGTCTCAATGTTGTTGTATTTAGATGGGAATGAGCACCATTCAAATATAAAGTCCTGCTATGATTTTATTTATCATTACTACTGCCTTACATTGTGGTTAGCATTGTATGCATCCACAGTCCCTGGCAAAGACACTGTCTTGGCTAATTTTGTAATAATCCCCTGTGATAGCCTGGGCAGAAACTATTATCACTGTTTACAGATTGGGAAACAGAAAATTCCCACTGGGTGAATGCGTTGCTCATGTTCATACAGTGATTAAGTGACAAGGGCTAGAATTAAAAACCAGGTCATCCTAAAACAAGAGCAATGCCAGTAATTTAACTACTCATATTTTCACAGAAGCTACCTGATACTAATAAACACTTGCTAAACTTAAGAATATCTCTTCTTCAAGAACATGAATATCTTGGGGGGAAAAGGTTAGATCTATTAATCACAACTTACTAAGTTAAGATAAATCCAAAATGGATCAAGAATTTAAATGTGAGATGCAGCCATCAAAAGGAATGAGATCTTGCCATTTGCAACGACGTGGATGGAACTGGAGGGTATTATGCTGAGCGAAATAAGTCAAACAGAGAAAGACATGTATCATATGACCTCACTGATATGAGGAATTCTTAATCTCAGGAAACAAACTGAGGGTTGCTGGAGTGGGGGGTGGGGTGGGAGGGATGGGGTGACTGGGTGATAGACACTGGGGAGGGTATGTGCTCTGGTAAGCACTGTGAATTGTGCAAGACTATTGAATCTCAGATCTGTACCTCTGAAACAAATAATGCAATATATGTTAAGAAAAAAAAAAAGAAGAAGAAGAAGAAGGTAGCAGGAGGGGAAGAATGAAGCGGGGGAAATCGGAGGGGTAGACGAACCATGAGAGACGATGGACTCTGAAAAACAAACTGAGGGTTCTAGAGGGGAGGGGGGTGGGAGGATGGGTTAGCCTGGTGATGGGTATTGAGGAGGGCACGTTCTGCATGGAGCACTGGGTGTTATGCACAAACAATGAATCATGGAACACTACATCTAAAACTAATGATGTAATGTATGGGGATTAACATAAGAATAAAAAAAAAAGAATTTAAATGTGAGAAAATTAAGCCATAAACATTCTAGTAGAAAATAGGGATGAATCATCTTATAATTTTAGAGTAGGTAAAGCCTTTGATAATTAGGATTCCAAAGTCCAGAAGTCATGATAGAAAAAGACTGATAAATTTAACTACACAAAAGAAAAATGAAAAAATCTGAGTGGCAAAACCATTACAAAGACAAATGACAAATGACAAACTGGGAAATATGTATATGAAACTCCCATCACAGACAAGTGGTTCATTTCCCTACTATGTAAATAACTGTAAATGAATTAGAAAAAGTTAATAACCCAGCAAAATATGAACAAAGTAAGTGAATACACAATTCACAGAAAATTATAAGAGTGATTTTTTAAAAGATTCATCCATTTATTTGAGAGAGAGAGTATGTGTGTGTGAGCAGGGGGAGGGGCAGAAGGAGAGGGAGAGAATCCTCAAGCAGACTCCCTGCTGCGCACAGAGCCCTACATGGGGCCTGATCCCATGACCCTGAGATCATGACCCAAGCTGAAATCAAGAGTTGGATGCCCAACCAACTGAGCCACCCAGTGCCCCAAAAATGATTTTTAAAATTATACAAATATAAGACTGACATTGCCAAAAATGGCAAAGTAGAGAACTCCAAATCTATGTCCCTTCACTAAAGCAACAATTAAGCTGGCAAAAACTGTCAGAATCAACTTTATCAGAGCTCTGAAAACTAACTTAAAAATTTACCACAGTCAGGGCAATGCTTAATGAGGAAAGAAACTGCTCTATTTTGGTAAGAGAGTACTGTGGTGTTTTAACTTACTCACTTCCTATCCCCCACTCCCCAGCTTGGTGGCATCTGTGGGGATGGCAGCTCATGTTCCTGGTGTGGTTTGCTGATACCAGAGAGGGTATTATGGACTTTTCTCTCAAGTAACTGTGATTACATGGTTTGACGTGTCTGGAGATTCCCTGAAGGACTGGCTAAGGAGCTTACTTTTGTTTTGCCCACCTTGGAACTTTCTCCTGGACAACATCTCTCAAAATCATTTAAAAGGAAATATAAGAGACACAACCTCCTGGTGCAAGGGATAACAGACAGGCACACAGTACAGAAATGAAAAAAACCTGAGAGGATGATGCTGGGGGAAAAATACATGAGGGAATAAAGACTTTGAAAGTTTCCACATATACTAGGGAATCTAAAGGGGCACATGCATGCCCAGGGTTGGAACCATGTTTAGAAAAAGCTTGAGAACACCCTAGTCTTTCACATCTGGCTGACCTTTGGTCTCTGCACATGTGAGACATGAAAGACAAAGCAGAGATGTAAACAGCCTGGCTAAAAGCACTGAAGGAGTGTACCTCAACACAGTTAATCTGCAAAGACTGGGAGAGTGTTTTTTGTTTTTTTGGCTCCAGGTATTTAAGAAGTCTGTCAAATTTCACTAGTTGACCACTAAGTTAACCAGAGACTTTATGATCACACATGACAAAAAAAGTAGTCTTTATAACAGTAGTCTGGGAAAGTCACTAAACAACTACAAACTACGAGCAACAAAAACAAACCCTGGAGAGAGGGAAGAATTTGATTTCCAGAGTTACCACATTATAATATTAAAATATTCAGTTTTCAGCAAAAAGTTATGAAGCACTCAAAGAAAAAAGAAATTAAGAAAAACTATCCCTGAGGAACTCCAGCTATTGGACTTACTAGATAAAGATCTTTAAATCAACTGTCCTAATTATGCCCAAAGTACTAAGGAAACTAGGAATGAATAACTAAAGGAAACCAGGAAAACAATGTCCTACCAAACAGGGAATATCAATGAAGAAATAAAAAGTATAAAATAAGCCAACTAGAAATTTTAGAGTTGAAAAGTATAATAAATGAAATGAAAAATTCAACAGCAGATCTGAACAGTCAGGAAAAAGAATCAGCAAACTTGAAGACAGGCCAATTAAGATTATCCACTCTTAGGAACAGGAAGAAAAAAGAACAGAGAAAAATTAATAGAGCCTCAGTTACATGTGGGACTCCATCAAGAATGCCAAGATAAACTCAATGGGAGTTGGGAAGTTGCCCTTGGGAAGGACAAGAAAGACAGGAGCAGAAAGAGTATTTGAAGGAATAATTGCCAAAAACTCTTCAAATTTACAGAACTCTAAGAAGCTCAACAATCTCTAGGTAAGATAAATTCAAAGAGATCTACAATGAGACACAATTGTTGAAAGTCAAAGACAAAAAGAGAATCTTGAAAGTAACAAAAGTGGTTCATCACATACAAGGGATCCTTAATAAGATTAACAGCTAATTTCTCATAAAATATCATGGAGGCTGGAAGGCAGCAGAATGACATATTTAAAGTGCTAAAAAAACAAAAACAAAAACAAAACTCTCCAACAAAGAATTCTATATTAAGCAAATTTATCTTTCAAAAATAAGAGAGAAGTCAAGATATTCCAAGATAAATAAAAGCTGAGGCAGTTTGTCACTAGTAGACCTACTGCAAAAGAAATGCTAAAGTGCCTTAAATTGAAATGGAAGAATACTAGACAGTAACTTGAAACTATATGAAGAAATATAAAACACTGTAAAGGTAACTATATAAGTAAATATAAACCCAGCATAATTATATTTTCAACTCCTCTATTTTTTTCCTATATGATTCAAAAGACAAATACATAAAACAATAATTATAAATCTATGTTAATTGGGCACACGATGCATAAAGATGTAGTTTTTGGCAACAAAACATGGTAGGGGGGATGAGTTTGTATAGGAGCAGAGATTTTGCAGACTTTTGAAGCTAAGTTTATATTAATTCAAGCTAGATTGTTATTGTAATACCCAGACCAACTACTAAGAAAATAACTAAAAACTATATAGAAAAGGAAATAAGAAGGGAATCAAAATTGTATGTAGGGCACCTGGGTGGCTCAGTTGGTTAAGTGTCCGGCTCTTGATTTTGGCTCAGGTCATGAGACTGAGCCCCATGTCAGCCTCCACACTCAGCATGGAGTCTGCTTGAGATTCTCTCTCTCCCTCTTCCTCTGCCCCTCCCCCACTCACATTCTTTCTCTCTCTCTCTAAAACAAAACAAATAAATAAAATCATTTAAAAAACTGTATGCATTAATTAGGGCTCTCCAGAAACAGTATATATATATAGGATATATATGGATATATATCAGAGAAAATTTATTACAGGAGCTGGTTCCTGTGATTATAGAGGCCAAGAAATCCCACAGTCTGCTGTCTGCAAACTTCAGAGCCAGGAAATCCAGTAGTATAATTTAATCTGAGCCCAAAGACCTGAGAACCAAGGGAACCAATGGTATAATTCTTAGTCCAAGGCCAAAGGCCTAAGAACCAGGAGGCTGTTGTGTAAGTCCTAGAGTCCAAAGACCCAAGAACCAGGAGCTCTGATGTCTGAGGGCAGGAAGAAATGGACTTTCCAGCTCAAGAAGAGAGAGAAGGAATTCACTTTTCCTTTGCTTTTTTTGTTTTATTCAGGCCCTCAGTAGATTCGATGATGCCCACCCCCATTGGTAAAGATGGGTCTATTTACTCAGTCTACGGAATCAAATGCTAATCTCTTCCAGAAACACATTCACAGACACACCCCAAAATACTGTGTCCCCCTTATCCTAGTCAAGTTGGAACAAAATTAAGCATCACACCATACACCAACACACATAAAAAGAATAAAAACAAAAGTCAACAATGGAGGAATTGAGGAACAAAAAAATGTAAGATTTATGGAAAACCAATAACAAAATGGAAGAAGTAAGTCCTTAATAGTGATTACTTGTAAATGTAAATGGATTAAAATCTTCAACAAAAGTCAGAGATTGGCAAAATGGAAAAGAAAAAAACAACCCATGATCTAACTATATGCTCTCTATAAGAGACTCAAAGATACAACTAGGTTGCAAGTAAAAGGATAGAAATAAACTCCAAGCAAATAGTAACCAAAAATGAACAGGTGTGGCTAAGCTAATACCAAACAAAACTGTACTTTAAGTAAAAAATTATTTCAGGAGACAAATAAAGCATTATATATCAAAAACAGGGTAATTCTCACTAGAAATGCAACAATTATGAATATATATGCAATATGACAATACAGCTTCTAACTACATGAAGCAAAAACTGACAGAATTGAAGGGAGAAACAGATAATTCTATTCTAATTCTAGTTGGAGATTTCAACATTCTATTTTTTTTTTTTTTTTAAAGATTTTATTTATTTATTTGAGAGAGAGTGAGAGAGAGAAAGAGCACAAGAGGGGGGAGCGGGAGAGGGAGAAGCAGACTCCCTGCTGAGCAGGTAGCCCGATGCGGGACTCGATCCCAGGACTCCAGGATCATGACCCGAGCTGAAGGCAGTCGCTTAACCAACTGAGCCACCCAGGCGCCCCTCTATTTTCGATAACAGACAGAACAAGTATAAAAAAGATGAACAAGAAAATAGACAATTTAAAGAATACTTTAAGTCAACTAACCTAAAAGACATGGATAGATCATTTAACTCAACTATAGCAGAATACACATTCTTCTCAAGTGCACATGGATCATTCTCCAGCATAAACTATATATTCACCCATCAAAAAGTCCCAATAAATTAAAAAAGAATGAAATCATACAAAATATTTTCTCTAATAACAGTGGAACAAAATTAGAAATCACTAACAGAAAGAAATTTGGAAAACTCATAAATTAAGAAATTAAGCAATACATTCTTAAACGGTCAATGGGTCAAAGAAGGAATCACAAAAAAAATTAGGAAATACTTCGACATTAATGAAAACAAAACAACCCCAAATACCAAAACTTATGGGATACATTGAGAAGAGTACTCAGAGGAAGATGTATCGCATTAAGAGAGAAGAAAGAGCTCAAATCAATAACCTAACTGAACTTTGCACTAGCAAAACAAGAACAATCTAAACCCAAAACTAGTAGAGGGAAGGAAATCATTCTCAGTAGAGGGAAGATAAAGAAAATAGAAAATAGAAGGCAATATAGAGAAACAACTAAAAAATGTTGGCTCTCTGAAAAGATCAGTAAGGCTGACTAATCTTTAGTTAGACTAAGAAAAAGGAGAGAAGACTCAAATTACTAAAATAAAATATGAAAGTGGGACATTACTACTGATCTTACAAAACTAGAAAGGATTATAAGAAGTTATTATGAACTGTACATCAACAAATTAGATAATCTAAATGAAATGGCTAAATTCCTAGAAACACACAAACTACCAAAACTGACTGAAGAAGAAATATAAAATCTGAATAAGCCTCTAACAAGTAAAAAAAATGAATCAGTAATCAAAAAACTTTCTACAAAGAAAAACCCAAGACCAGATGGTTTCCCTTTTGAATTCCTTTTTTTTTTAAGGTTTTATTTATTTATTTGACAGAGAGAGACAGCGAGAGAGTGAACACAAGCAGGGGGAGTGGGAGAGGGAGGAGCAGGCTTCCCGCCGAGCAGGGAGCCGGATGCAGGGAGCCGGATGCAGGGAGCCGGATGCAGGGCTCGATCCCAGGACCCTGAGATCATGACCTGAGCCGAAGGCAGACGCTTAACGACTGAGCCACCCAGGCACCCCTCCCTTTTGAATTCTAACAAACATTTGGATAACTAACACCAATTGTCCTCAAATTCATCTAAAAAATAGATCAGGAAAGAACACTTCCTAACTCATTCTGAGGCCAGGATTACCCTGATACCAAAGCCAAAGAAAAGAAAAGAAAAATACAGGTGGATATCCATTATGAATGTAGATGCAAAAATTCTCAATGAAATAAATACTAGCAAGCCAAATCCAACAGCATATTAAAAGGATTATACACCGTGACTAAGCAGGGTTTGCCCAAGGAACATAAGGGTGGTTCAACTTATGAAAATCAATCAGGGTAACACATCTCCTTAATAAAATTAAGATAAAAAACCACAAGATCCTCTCAATTGATAGAGAAAAAACATTTGATAATTCAAACACCCTAGGATTAGAAGGGAACTTCCTCAACATGATAAAAGACATTTATTTATTTATGAAACACTCACTGCTAACTTCATATCCAATGGTAAAAGACTGAAAGCTTTACCCCTTATAGATCAGGAATAAGACAAGGATGCTCACTTTCACCATTTCTATTCAACATTGTACTGGAAGTTCTAACTAGAGCAATTAGACAAGAAAAAGAAATAAAAGCTGTCTAAGTTGGAAATAAGGAGTAAAACTATTTCTATTCACAGATAATATGATTTATATATGGAAAATCCTATAGAATACACACACACACAATAAGAGCTAATAAACAAATTCAGTTAAATATCAGGATAAAAGATTAACAGGCACAAGTCAGTTATATTTCTATACACTAGTGAAGAACAATCTGAAAAAGGAATTAAGAAAATAATTTCATTTATAATAGCATCAAAAAGGATAAAATACTTAGGAATAAATGTAACCAAGATAGTGAAAGACTCACCCAATGAATACTACAAAACATTGAAAGAAATTGTTTTATTTTGTTTTTTCCTTTTAAATTTTTATTTAAATTCTAATTAGTTAATATACAATGCAATATTGGTTTCAGGAGGAGAATTCAGTGATTCATCACTTACATACAACACCCAGTGTTCATCCTAACAAGTACCCTCCTTAATACTCATCACCCATCTAGCCCATCCCCCACCCATCTCCCTCCATCAACCCCCCGTTTGTTCTCTATCATTAAGAGTCTCTTATGGTTTGTTTCTTTCTCTCTCTCTCTTTTTTAAAGAAATTTTAAAATATATAAATAAATGGAAGACATCCCATTTTCTTGTGTTGAAAGACTTAATATCGTTAAACTGGCAATACTACCCCAATTAAGCTGCAGATTTGATGTGCTTCCTATCAATATTTCAACAGCCTTTCTTGCAGAAATGCAACAGCCAACCCTCAAATTCATATGGAATTGTAAGGAATCATAAATAGCTGAAACTATGTTGAAAAAGAAGAACAAAGTTGGAGGACTCACACATCCTGATTTCAAAACTTACTATTAAGCTACAGCAATCAAACCAATGTGATATTTGCATAATGACAGACATATTGACCAATAGAATAGAATAGAGAGCACAGAAATAAACCCTTACATATATGGTCAAATGATTTTTGATAAGGACACCAAGACCATTCAATAGAGAAAGCACAGTTTCTTTTCAATAGATGGTGCTGGCAAAACTGGACTTACACATGCAAAAGAATGAAGTTCTTTTTAACAAAAATTAAACAAAAATTAACTCCAAATGGATCAAGAACCTAAAATAATATAATTCTTAGAAGAAAACATTGGAGAAAAACTGTACAACATTGGGTTTGGCGATGATTTCAAGGATATGACAGCAAAGGCACAGGTAACATAAGAAAAAATAGACAAATCGCATTTCATGAAAACAAAAATTTTGTGAATCAAAAGACATTATCCATACAGTAAAAAGACAACCCACAGAATGGGAAAATATATTTGCAAATTATATATCTAATAAGAGAATACCCAGAATATTTAAAAAGCTCCTAAAATCAACAAAATAATAAACACCTGATTAAAAATGGGGAAAGAGCAGTCTCTTGCTGCAGCAATGTGAGTGGCACCAGGCACCAGGCTTGGAGTGAAACTCCATGGATCACTTTAAGAAAATGTCAGGCAAGCCAGACATGGGGAAAATTGCCAGCTTTGATAAGGCCAACCTGAAGAAAACAGAGAAACAGGAGAACACCCTGCCAGCCAAAGAGCCCATTGAGCAGGAGAAGTGAAGTGAAATTTCCTAAGAACCTAGAGGATTCCCCACCCCTCTCATCTTCAAGACACCCCAGTCATGTAGAGGAAGAAGAGTCACCCGCTAGACGGGTAAGTAACAAGCTGCACTGTGAACCCAGGCACTCCAAGCCAATGCCACTAGCCTGCAAGTCTCTGAGGGGACTCTCCAATCAGACTGCCAAATTCTCCAGTTTGCCCTGGGATATTACAGCAAATTATTTGTATGATTAATGAAAATAAAACACACCTTGTGGCAAAAAAAAAAAAAAAAAAAAAAGAAAGAACTTGAATAGCCATTTCTCAAAAAAAGATGCAAATAGCCAACAAACACATGAAAAGATGTTCAACATCACTACTCATCAGGGAAATAGAAGTCAAAACTACAATGAGACATCACCTCACACTCCTTAGGATAGCTACTATAAAAAAAAAAGATGAAAAAGAAAAAGAAAACAGCAAGTGTTGAAAAGAATGTGGAGAAATTGGGACTCTTGCATACCATTGGTAGGAATGTAAAATGGTATAGCCATGGTGGAAAACTATATGATGTTTCCTCAAAAAAAAATTTTTTTTAAAATGAGAGACAGAGAGCATGAGAGGGGGGAGGATCAGAGGGAGAAGCAGACTCCCTGCCGAGCAGGGAGCCCGATGCGGGACTCGATCCTGGGACTCCAGGATCATGACCTGAGCTGAAGGCAGTCGCTTAACCAACTGAGCCACCCAGGCGCCCCAAAAAAGTTTTAAAAAAATAGAATGTCCATATAATCCAGCAAATCCATTAGGGGTATTCACCCAAAAGAATGGAAAACAGGTCTCAAGGAAATATTTATACACCCATCTTCATATCAGCATTACTCACAGTAGCTAAAATGTGGAAGTTACACAAGTGTCCCTCAACAGATAAATAATAAACCAAATGTAGTCTATGTATACAAAGGACTATTCAGCCCTTAAAAGGAAAGAAATTCTGACGCATACTATAGGATGGATGAACCTGTAAGACATTATGCTAAGTAAAATAAGCCAGCCACACACAAAAAATGCTGTGTGATAAAGTACTTAGAGTAGTCAAAGTCATAAAAACAAAGTACAGTGGTGGTTGCCAGAGGCTGGGGAGAGGAAATGAGGGATTAGTCTTTAATGGGGACAGAGTTTCAGTTTTATAAGATGAAAAGAGTTCTGGAGATGGATAGTGGTGATGGTTGCATAACATTATGAATGTATTTAATACCACTGAAATAAATACACTTAAATATATCAGGATGATAAATTTTATTTTATATGCATTTTATACCACAACAAAAAATTGAAAAAAGAAATTATAAAAGGTGCTTGACTTCACTCACAATAAAATAAATGCAGAAGATGGTAGGAGAATCCTAAGCTCACCTGTCCCACAGATAGAACTAGATAACACCCATATCAGTGTAAATAGATGTAATAGGTTCAGAAAATAACCTGAAGACTGGTAGAATAGACTCTCCACAGCTAAATGTAGAGAGGAGGCCACATCAAAGAGGATAGGAAGAGTGGAAACATGGTCAGAAACTAAATGGACCCGCAAGATTGTTCCAGGAGGGAGGGACACTGCAGGGGTGAAGAGGGGGAAAGAAATAGATCCTCACATCAGGCACCACAGTCACAGGGAACCCACACAGGGAAGATGAATCCCCATAACATTTGGCTTTAAACACCAGATGGGCCGAATTTTGTGAGTTCTTATAATCAATGGGGCTTAACATCTGGAACTTCAAAAATCAGTAGGCTTAGCTCTGGGAGAGCTGGGAGGGCAATAGGAAACTGAGTTCCTGCCCTTAAAGAGACAGCACAACAAACAGCCCCATGGAGATACAGCAGAGAAGCAGCCATTTGAAAGCTGCCTGAGATAAACGGGAGGGAGATCTGTTTACTAATCTCAGAGTGTGTGCTAAAGGGGCAGGCATTGATAGGAGACCTGTCCAGGAACGAAGAAGTTGGCAAGTGCCATTTCCCTCCCCTACCCCCAGCCTAGACACACAGACACCACAACCAGCACAGTATCAACATGCTGACATTTGCTACCGAACTTGCTAACAGTGCACCCTACCCCCACATACTTCTGCAGATACACCTCCTCCAACCTGGCAGGCCATGGTTTCCAGGGGCTGCAGGTCCCCTCCCACAGCAAACCTTCTCAGACCTTGATAACACCACTGTCCCACTCCTATGTTTTCCTTTGGACAGGCCTCCTCTAATACACCTTTGGCTAGAGCCCATCCAAATTGATGTCACAAGCCTGGCAACATGCAAGCAGCCCCAACAAGGACCAGCACCACTCCAAAGTGACTCTTGCCCCAGAGAGAGGGGAAGATAACCACACACACCAGTCCAACTGTGACCCAGCAGTAGGCTGGGAGTAGACATCTGGTCTGACTACAGGCCCTGCCCACCAATAAAACTTCTCAGGGGACAACACAGGGAAAGCATCCTGTACATCGATGCTACTGCATCTCTGGAAAATGCCTGGTCTGACTTAACTCAAGCCCAGGGAGGCCCCAGACTAACCCACTAACAACACAGGAATCAAACCCTGCCAACAACAGGTGAAGAGAGCCATTGCAGATGACTGGACTGAAGGCAAAAGTGGCTCAGCCACAACAGCAGGGTACACAGAACACATATACAAGACAGTCCTAAAGCACCAGTTCTTGTGAATAGGGGACACTGCATAGGAGGGCACCATAGGACCTCTTCTTCGTGAGACCACTACTTTTGAGAGCAGGAGATGTAGCTGACTTTCCTAATACATTGTAACAGACAAAGAGTTAGACAGAATGAAGAGACAGAGGAACATGTCCCAAATGAAAGAATAGGACAAAATCACAGCAAGAGACCTAAACAAAACTGAGATAAGTAATACACCTGATCAAAAATTTAAAAAAGTGGTCTACAAGAGTCTTATTTCAGACCTAAAGACACGTACAGGTTAAAAGTGAAGGGATGGAGAAGCATTTATCGTGCAAATGGAAGGGAAAAGAAACCCAGGGTAGCAATACTTATACCAGACAAAGTAGACTTTAAAACAAAGACTGTAACAAGAGACCAAGAAGAACACTATATAATTAATCATAAAGGGAACAACACAAGAAAATATAACTGTATATATTTGTTCACCTAACATGGGAGCACCCAAATACATAAAGCAGCTTATAACAAACATAAAGGAAGTAATTATTAGTAATGCAATAAGAGTAGGGGACTTTATTTTTTTTTTTTTTTAAATTTTTTAAGGTTTTTATTTATTTGAGAGAGAGAACGAGATAGAGCGAGCATGAGGGGGGGAGGGTCAGAGGGAGAAGCAGACTCCCCGCTGAGCAGGGAGCCCGATGCGGGACTCGATCCCGGGACTCCAGGATCATGACCTGAGCCGAAGGCAGTCGCCCAACCAACTGAGCCACCCAGGCGCCCTAGAGTAGGGGACTTTAATACCCCATTTACTTCAATGGATAGATTGTCCAGACAGAAAATCAACAGGAAAGAGTGGCTTTGAATGACACATTGGACCAGATGGATCTAACAGATATATTCAGAACATTCCATCCTAAAACAGCAGAATATACCTTCTTTTCAACTGCACATGGAACATTCTCCAGAATAGATCACATATTAGGCCACAAAAAAGTCTCAACAAATTGAAAAAGATTGAAGTCATACCATGTAACTTTTCTGACTATGAAACTAGAAATCAACCATAACAAAAAATCTGGAAAGACTACAAATACATAGAGGTTAAACAATATGCTACTAAACAATGAATGGGTCAACTAAGAAATCAAAAAGAAAATTAAAAAATACATGGGAACAAATGAAAATGAAAACACAATGGTCCAAAATCTTTGGGATGCAGCAAAAGCAGTTCTAAAAGGGAAGTATATAGTAATATAAGCCTAACTCAAGAAACAAGAAAAATATCAAATAAACAACTTAAACTTACAGCTAAAGGAGATAGAAAAAGAAAAAGATTAGAAGCAGAAATAAACAAAACAGAAACTAAAAAACAACAGATCAATGAAACCAGGACCTGGTTCTTTGAAAAGATCAATAAAATTGATAAGCCTTCATCAAACAAACAAACAAAAACAAAGACAGAGAGAGAAAGGACTCAAACAGACAAAATCAGAAATGAAAGAGGAGAAATAACAACCAACACCACAGAAATACAAAAGATTAAAAGAGAATATTATGAAAAACTGTATGCTAACAAACTGGACAACATAGAAGAAATGGATAAATTCCTAGAAACATATAACCTCTCAAAACTGGATCAGAAAGAAATAGAAAATTTGAACAAACCAATTATGGAATAAAATTGAATCAGTAATCAAAAAGCTCCCAGCAAACAAAAGTCCAGAACCCCATGGTTTCACAGGTGAATTCTACCAAACACTTAAAGAGTTAATACCTATTCTTGTCAAACTATCCCAAAAAATAGAAGAGGAAGGAAAGCTGTTCCGAATTTATTCCGAGGCCACCATAAACCTGATACCAAAGACACTACAAAAAAAGAGAACTATAGGCCAGTATCTCTGATGAACATAGATGCAAAAGCCTCAGCAAAATATTAGCAAACCAAACCTAACAATACATTTAAAAAATCATTCACCACAATCAAGTGGGATTTATTGCTGGAATGCAAGGGTGGTTCAATATTCACAAATCAATCAACAAGATACATCACATCAACAAGAGAAAGGATAAAAACCATATGATCATTTCAATAGATGCTGAAAAAGCGTTTGACAAAGCACAACATCCATTCATGATAAACATCTTCAACAAAGTAGGTTTAGAGGAATATACCTCAACATAATAAAGACCATATATGAAAAACCCACAGCAAACATCATACTCAATGGGAAAAAACTGAGAGCTTTCCCCCTAAGGTCAGAAACAAGACAAGGATGTCCACACTCACCACTTCTATTCAACATAGTACTGGAAGTCCTAGCCACAGCAA